ACTTACAGGACCCACAGTGTAGAGCATGCATACATGGTAGGTCTGGAGGCCAACTGTCAGAAAGGGTTGTCCCATGATGCCCAGGGGACACTCCGTACTTCACCCCTGACTGTAGGGGTAGTGGTGAGTCTAAGGAGCTGACTGTTTCTTTGTCCCTCCTTATAAGCATATGAAGAAACGGAGGTGTGGAGAAGTTGAGCAACCATAGCATTCCCATGGATGTTGGGGTGTGAGTCCAGGCGCTTTGGCTGGAGAGGGGCTGCCGCCCGCGCTGCGCACACGGCCCCTGCTCACTGAGAATGGCTCCTCGCAGTGTGCCCTGCCTTCGCATCCTTCATCAGTGATGCAGCCCTCTCCTGGATCCACCCTGTATTATTTGTTCAGGCCCCTGTGGAGGGCAGTCCTTCCTCTGTTCTGATCTGGGTCCTGGGAGACTGAAAGGAATTGGTCCTAGAGCTCCCAGCCCTATTCTCTAGGGGGGAAAAACCATCACAAGTGCAGCACTGGGGCAACAGCGCTGAGCAGAAGGTGCCCAGGTTACCTGAGACCACAAGGGGTGTGTGTCAGCCGGATTCATAGATCCCTGTTCTCCACTTAAGAAACAATTCCTAAAGGCCCCTCCAGGGCAGCTCAGAGAAGATTCTAGACCTGAAGAGCTGAGCCAGCCATGTCCCTGAACTTCGAGTTACATTGTCACCGTGAGCCTCTGGTTCTGCCTCTCTAGATGAGGATGATGACAGCAGCACCACCTCACAGGGCTGGGAAAACTCGGGAACATTCCTTGGGAATGTTTAGCACAACTCCTGCACCCTAGTCTTTGCTGCCACGTTTGGCCAGTTTCACGGAGATGGTGCTAGTGCCCAGCCCCATTGCGGCTGGCCTTTCCCAGGCTTGGGATCACCAGTCCATCCTTGGTAGGAAGCAGTTCCACCCAGGTGCCACAGAGCAGAGTATCTGTAAAGAGGGGAGAGACTGCGCCGGTGGTAAACAAGAGCAGGCAAGAGCTAATAAAATTTCAAATTAGCCATGACTTTTCACAGCCCTTCAGTTGTGCCAGCTGATTTAATGGTCAGTGAGTGTCCTGTTCACTGCGATTGAATAATGGAGCATTTCTGCAGAGTTATGGATGCAGCAGCTGAATCTGTCGCGCTGACATCAATAGCAGAATGCAAATGACCCTCCACTTGGGCTGTGATTATGTGTTTAAGCAGTGCGTGTTGGGGCAGAGTCGGACGTATGGTGGGGCCTGCAACTGCAGCAGAGCACGTGTGCGTGGTGAGGCAGGTGCGTCTGGGCTGTAACGGGAGCTACAGTGAAGAGCCGGGCTGCGGTGGGCTGGGGGAGGCCTTGCTGCGCCCCCAGCAAGAACCTGACGATGAGCTTGGGATCAGCTAACGACCCTTCATTGGCAAGCCACGTTCCAAGTTCAGAGCTGCGAAGCAAACTGCCCCTTGGTAAGCACTTGCTGCATTGGCTGCTACATGCTGGGCTGGGCTGGGGCCAAGCACATGGTGCCAGGCAGCGAGTCCCCTTCAGCAACCCGCGTGCTCAGTGATTGGACTTAGCAAGGCCTGCATCCAGACTTGCAGCCTGCCCTTTTCTGCAGAGTTCCGCACGTCTTGGTACTAGAGCCTCAGTGTCTTTTTGTGCATGTAAGAATTATGCAAATCAAAGCAAAGTCATCAGGTTAGAGTTTCTTCGACCATTCCTTGGTTCTGAATGCTGTGACATGCATACTATGTTCAATCTCCCATTCAGCCACCAGCTCATCTAATGACTCAGCATCAGGAGCATGACTCAGCCATTGGAGGAGGAGTGCCTGTACCCTACTGTATTTCAGGCAACTCACTAAGCATGACGTGCGACTAAGCCCTGTGTTTATGGAAAGACCAATGTCTTTGAAATACACAATATGTCTATAATGTCTGGTACGGGGGTACATAATCCACCTGACATTCTTTGCATATTGAGGCAAAAGGGGAAGGGTGCTTGCTTTGCCTCAATGGCCAAAATCACATGTGGCTCCCCTTTGTGGGTGCAGCGGGAGGGATTTGGAGCGCGGTTGATGGGACTCGCTGGCCACATAGATGCGCAGCGCAGCCGGACCAAAGGGCCAGAAAACTGCATCGGCGCACACTTCCTCCTGGGCTTCCTTCTCGGGACTCTGGTTCTAGCATGTCCTCAGGTGATGATAAAACTGATTCATTTGGAATTAAATAAATTGTCAGATATAAACCAACTCCTTAAAGGTGGTGTTACCTTTGAAACTTTTGACATGTAGAGAGTCTCATCTCTCATGGTGGGCATGTTTTCTCCAGGGTGGTGAACACTTGCAAGCCACAGGAAAGAATTGAGCAGCTGCTTGTCACTGTTGCTCCCGGGGCTGTGGTGGCTCTACGTGTCCAGTCTGTGTCTCACACTCAGGGCTGCCGCGTTCCTTCGCTGTGCACTTTATGCATCGCTCTGTCCTCAGAGGTGCTTACGGCAGAGGTGGCCAGTGCTGTGGCTCCGTGAAGGCCAGGTCACCGTCAGGACAGCTGGCATTTCTGGTGATTTTTACAGAGTCAAGCAGGTTGCTGGTTCTGTGATATAGTAGGAGTGGGACTGTATTTTAGTCTCATTGGTCCCTTACAGCGACCTGCAGAACTTTCTTCATTAAGGAGAGAGGCCTGGTGGCACATGCCTACAATCCCAGTACTCAGGAAGCTGAAGCAGGAGGATCGCTGCAAGTTCAAGGCCAGCCTGGGCTACATAGCAAGACCACTTATTATAATAATAATAACAATAATAATAATAATTTTTGAAACCAGGAATCAAACTCATGACTTTGTGCTTGCCAGGCAGGTGCTGTGCCACTGAGCTATCTCCACAGCCCCTAATAATAATAATTACTAATAAGATAAAATTGCAGTTCCCTTTGACTGCTTCTTCATTCTGAATATCAAAACGTGCATGCCACGTACAAGTCCTCACTTGGCGGCCAGTTCATTTACTGACCTGCCACAGGAGTGCCTGCACTTTACTTTTTTTCTGTAGCAGAAGACTTGCGCGGTGCTTTCATTACACCCACTGAGAGCCTTAGGAATAGAGGCCGGAGAGCTGCAGGCACCTGCCCAGCATCACACAGGAGGAAGTTTCAGGTACCACATTGCCTGGGCCTTGTGCCGAGATGGGAAAAAAGGCAAGAATTTTATCCTTAACTTATTTAAGGATCATTGCACCCCACGTGGGATTCTAGGGCAGTTGAGTAGTTTGCCTGAGCCCACACAACTCTTGAGGATGGGCCAGTCTAGCCAACACGGATCCCACTCTAGTGGGCAGCATTCAGCTTGTGAACTCCATGGAGACAGGCACAAGGTGGGCACACCAGCGTCACTCCCACTTTACTGGTGAGGGGACCATGGCTTGGACCATTAAGGGTAAGAGTCAGCCCTGGTCAGTCTTACAGGCAGTGCTGGGGCTTGAACTTGAGTCTCTGGGCCTCATGATCCTCATCCACTGTGCTTTGGGACTAGCTGTAGATAGGGCTTCCCAGCATCTGGACTGGCATTTGGTTTCATCTCCTGCTTCATCTACTTTACTCTTTTCACATTTGTTTTTTAAATTTTTTTAATTAATTAATTTATTTATTTGATAAAGGTTCTCATTACACAGCTCAGACTCTTCGTGATTGATCCTCCTGTCTCAGCCTCGCCAGCGCTGGGATTACAGGTGTGCGCCACCACACCTGGTCTTGGCCAGCACGGCGCACTCGGGGTTCCAGGGCTGGCATGACATGTGGTTCTGGGGTTGGGACTGGTCCTTGTGCTTGCCAGGCAGGTGCTGACTGCCGAGCTATCTCCCGAGCCCACATATCTTTTATTTAACAGTCATTTTCCAAACATGTCTAATGTGTGCTAAGGGCACATCAGAGGTGAGTAGGACAGATCTATAACCAGGGTGGCAGGGCGAGTTGTCCAGTGTCACTCAACAAAGAATGGTAGAGCCAGAATGTGAACCCGGCCAGAAATACGGGTCATGAGACTATTTTTCTGCCTACAAAACACCCAGACACAGGCTGGGTGTTTCCCATCCTCTGCTGCGGCCACTGTCCTGTTAGCTCAGCTGTGTTTTTTGTTTTTTTTTTAACTTGCCTTACGTTGTTCTTTGGATGTCTGAAAAAGTACCCTGGGCTGATGCTGCCAGACCTCGCGATCTGATAGAGCATCGTGGGCTCTGGGAGGATGGCCGAGCTGCGACCTGAAGAAATTCATCCCTGGGGTACAGATTATTCTTGCAAATAGCCACTTACAGAAGCAGAGCTGGGCCTTCCAGGGGCTGAGAACTGTGCCTCCGGCCATGTGACTGCACGCCACAGGGAGCAGCATGGGAGTCCCAGGCCGTCACTGGTGTGCACCTCCTCCCCGCCCCTAGAACCGGGCAGTCCCCAGATCTTAGGGTTTTCTGTCCTACCTGTGTCTCAAAACCATCTCCATCTCTCAGTGTCTGCTGTTACTACCTTGCCTAAGTGTCCTCATGCCACCCCCCTTCATCCCACCTGTCACTTCACCCCAGCCTCTCTTCAGCTTCAGCTGAAGTAGGCATCAGTGGTTAGAGCCTCTGGTGGCACCCTCGTCCTGCGGATGAAGCACACACTCCCTCCCTGGGCTAAGGGCCCCACCATCTGCCCTGCCAGCCCTTATTCTCTTCCAGTTGCCTTCCAAACGTGAACATCTGAATCTAGCACTTGGGGTGCTCATGTGACCCTTATCCCTGCCCTTCATGTGTACCATTCCTGCACCTCTTTAGAAGAAAACCAGACACTTCACACTCTTCCCTGTCTCTCCTATCAGACTGGTAGCCTGGGCTCAGGCCTCAATAGCCAGACCTCGCTAGCGCCCAGAAAGGCACATCGTGTTTTCAGTGTGTGGAAAATGAAGGAGAAATAGGTGAAGGTGCTGCATGCACACGTGATGTGTAGAGCACACCTGTGCAAACCACGTGCTCTGCTTTCCCCACAGATGGCCTGGTGGACTGCATGGACCCTGACTGCTGCCTGCAGCCCCTCTGTCACGTCAGCTCCTTGTGCCTGGGCTCCCCAGACCCTCTGGACATCATCCAGGAGACGAAGAGCCCCGTGTCCCAGCAGGGCCTGCACTCCTTCTATGACCGCATCAAGTTCCTCGTGGGCAGGGACAGCACGCACGTCGTCCCTGGGGAGAACCCCTTCGATGGAGGGTGAGTGCATGGGGCCCAGTGCTGAGGAGGAGCTGAGTCCCCTCTGGGCTACACTGGTGGGAGGGGCCCAGAGGCCAGCCCTCAGGAGCTTCTCCTGCGATGTCAGGGCAGGCGGCGGCGCACCGGCCCCCAGTAGCTACTTCATAAACTGCTATCCAAGGCACTCAGAATTTTTATGAGCAAAGTTGTGTTGCTCCCGCCGGGTGATAGATGGAGAGAGTGAAAAATCAAAGGGCCAGGGGGAATCTTGGATCAATAACCACTTTGCAGTCAGCTCTTGCTGATCCTGTGGTCTCCTGGTGAGCGAAAGGGCTTTGGCTCCATTCATCCTCAGAGCTGACATCAGAAGATGTTGCTGCCTGGGGTGCCAGGGTATCAGCCGTGTCCCAGCCACGTGCCCACAGTCTTTCTCTTTCCGGTGGCGCCATTGGTAGGACAGTCACTTACAGTCCATTGCACACCAGGTCCGTTGCTACGACCACAGAGGAAGACAGTCTTTGCCTTTTAGTCCCTCACAATCCCCTAGGAGACTTAAAGGGAAGCAGGGCACATTCCCTGTGTGCTTGGGTGGAGTCACACACCCAGAGGCTGTAGGGCACAGAGCAGCTGCTGGTGGGCGGTGAAGACCAAGGCTTGTGACCCGACTCCCAGAGCTGAAGAAAGCTGTCTGTGCTGGGGGTGGTTCAGGGAGAATGCAAGCCAGAGCACAGACCCGGGCCAGATAGGGAGCAGAAGCCAGCACAAAGGACTGTCTTCTGTCCCTGCTCCCTGCATCAGGGTGGTGAGCTGGGACAAGGGAGGGGCAGGAGGGATTTATAATCTTTATCTTTGAATGTCTTCCACGGGGGTAACGCCTTCTACATACAAAGCGTTCACTACAGCTCCACACAGTGAGCTCCGCGGCACGGCCTGTGTGTCTTCTATGTTACTGACTTGCGCCAGAGAAGGAGTAAGAAGGGGCCGTCAGCAGGGCTTTGTCAGAGGGGGCGTGAAAAAGGGTCTCCTGCTTGGAAGCCTGAGTGTTGGCAGTGCTGTCACCAGGAGGAACCGAGAGCAGGAGCAGGGTTAGGGGAGCAAGGCGACGACCTCCACCCAGAACAGGAGGGTGCAGCTGGGACATTTCACAGCAGGACACCCCAGAGGAAGTGTCTACAGTTTTAAGAAATCCTGGCCATCACTTGCATGGAGCATAAGGCCTAAAGTTTTTTCTTTTTTTTCTTTTTTGGCAAAACCAGGGATTGAACTCAGGTCCTTGCACTTGCCGGGCAAGTGTTATTTCTACTGAGCCATCTCCCCGGCCCCTGGCCCCAAATTCTTGATTTGGGAAACTGTGGAGGAGGGCGCTAACCAAATCTGTGGGTATACAAATGTTTGTTCCACGGTACAGACTGAAGGCAGAGAGCCCCGTGAGGCTGCTTCTGTCCCAGCATAATAGGACAGCAGCCTGTGGCCAGCAGAGCCTGGGCATGGACTCAGAGCGTGGGCCCCACCACCCCTGCTGTCCTTGGGGGGGGGCACAGGGACAGCACCCAGATGGTGGCTGGGAGGCATACACTGGAGTGCACACCCTGTCCCTGTCCCTGTCCCTGTCCCAAGAGCATGGACAGCCTGGCCGGGAGGGGGCTTTTGCACATGCACAGCCCAGTCAGGCAGTGGGGCCAGGAGCAGAAGGAGTGAGGGAAGGCCCGCTCCTTTATCCTGGCCAGAAACGCTGCTTCTGTCTCTGGGTAGAAAGCTCCCTGCTATTTTATTCAATTGTGCGCTTGTATATGTGTGCTGTGGGCCTTCCCGTGGCATGAGTTCTTTTAATCAACTGGAGAGAAAAATAATATTCCTACCCAGGAAAATGTTACCTGCTCAGCCTTTCGTTGCTGGGCCCATATGGTGTCTGATGGGGAGATGGCTTGCTGGCTGCCCATGCTGTTCTGCTGGGGGTGTCCTTCCATGCCAGCCTGCTCTGTGACAGTAGGGACTACCACTACATGTCCTTCTGACCACATATAAAGCACACGCTTGGGTGACAGTCACTGGGAGACCTGCAGGGGGGCCTCAGCACTGTCGCTCCAGCAGAGGTGACCTGCATCGACCAGCAGAGACCGAGGTGCCAGGCTGTGTGGGCTTTGGTCCTGGCCCTGCCGCCCCCCCAGCAGGTGGCTCAGGGCCTGTGAAGGTCTGCCAACCCCACCACAACCGAGTCCTCCTGGGAGGCTCTGCAGCTACTTTTTTTAGTGCTTGGTAATTGTTCAGGACACATACTGCATGTGAATTGTCTCGAAGAATGAAGAAATGAAGGTAGAAAAGAAAGGAAGGCATGGAAGCAAAGAAAGAAATTGGGGAGGCTGGATGGATTTGTTATCTATTTTGTTCAACTTTATATTGAGGATTTAGAGGCCAGAGAGTTTAAATCGCCTGCTGCAACCGCTGCCCACATGGGTCCCAGATGCAGAGGTCAGCCCCAGAGCATTATCTGTGTACCCGTCACCTTCGGTTGAAGTGGTACCCTCTGGAAGCAGGATCACTCATCTCCGCAAACCTAAAAGCCTTCTGGCAGGGCCCAGAACACAGCACTACAAATGAGTAAACAATGGAAGCTTCCAGAACGTTGCCATAAAACTTCTGTTTCTTAACCTTTACCGAATCATTGTATCGCTGCTTCTTGCGGGTCTAGATTCCAAAGAAACAGCCGTCTGTCTCTGAGAATCACTACAGAGAGTCCAGCTGAAGCACACCCGGGTAGCTGGCTTGTCACAGATGTGGGCCACGTGGCCACCCTACCCACTAGACCACCTCCTCATGGCCTGGCCTGGGCCAGTAGGCAGTGCTTGTGCCATAGCTGGGACAAAGTGAAGTCACGGCCACGTCTGAGTCACGGCTCCTTTCCTCCTACATGTGGAAGTGTGATCTCATGAGGGTGTGGAGTTCCGGTCCTGGCCCTGCCCCTGCTCGCTGGATGTGGTCTTGGGGCATTGATTTAAGCTCTGTGCCTTCAGATGTGAGCCTGTAACAACAGTCACCATTTCAGGAAAGCCAGGGCAAGCAGTGGGTGGGGCTTTCAGAGTGGCAGCGCGTCTTGATGATGGTAACTCAAGCCTCAGAATCAGACAGGTGAGCGAGGGAGGGCAGAAGCGTGGCGGGTCCTTATCTATTCTATTTGGATCTGATCCCAAGGCTGTGGCATCCTCCTTCTGGCTGTGTCACCATGGGAACATTCCTTAACCTGTCAGAGCTCCATCTCATCTCACAGATTGGGATAGGAGGGCTTTGTCACAGTTGTTGAGGGCGTTCAGTCGGGAAGGGGGGTTCCGTGGGCTCCACCTAGTACCTGCCACACAAAAATGTGCTTATGCGTGCCATGGCGTGGTGGGGTGATGACAGTATGAAGACGCGCTTGCAGCTCTCCCTAATTGGAAGTCAGACGTGAGCATAACCTGTCTTCCGGGGAAGGCCGCAGCCATCCGGAGAGGAGCCAGGACTAGGTTGTTGAATTAACATTTGAAGAAAGGAATTGGCGGCATTCTTGCCAGCCACTGTGCGCAGGACCCTTGTCAGAGAGGGATCCAGTGGCGCTTCTCCAGAGAGCAGGCATTCCGATGGGCAGGCAACCTGACTCAGCTCCTGGGGGGGCCACAGGGCCTGTGCCAGTCGGAGAAGCCCCATATCCTCCGCAGCCTCATGCTGTGCCACAAGTTGGATGGTTTGTCTGGGTTTCACTGAACAGTGCCAAGATGCAGGCTGCCGTCCAGAGACCAGCAGCGCCACTGAGCCTGCCAGGAAAGGCGGCCCTGAGGGCTAGTGCCTCCATTCTGCAAATTCTCGGCTGTGCGTGTGAGGCCCGGGGAGGGCGAGGAGTTCAAGGCCAGGACAGAGAACTTAGACTGCAGTCACTGAGGCAAGCAGATAACCACCCTGAGGGCCAGGCTCCCCTCACGGGCGGCTTCCTGCCTGAGCTGGGAAGCAGGACGGTTTCCACAAGGACCATAATACCAGGAAGTAGGTCATGGGAGGGTGCTCCTGTGCTGCACCCCGGCCCGCACCAGAGGAGCAGAGCAGCGACCACCCAAGGGAGAGATGCATGCAGCAGCTCCCAGGATGTGCGGGCCCAGCTGCGCTCACTGGGCTGACGCAGAGCTGACTGCGTAGGCACGAGTACTGCCAGGTGGACCGCAAGGCTTTGGAAGGCCACCTTCAGAGTCCTACTGTACTCCTGAGTTAGTAGTCCCAAGTTAGGTGCTATGCCTGGCCCCGAGCACATGTTCACACAGGTTTGGTGAAGACAGTGGCTCTGCCTGACATTCTGCCACCATTGTCCTTGTCACCGCATACAGTGGTAAAGCTATACATGATCTCGGCCAGTCCCGAGGAGGGACATGGCAGGCATGGGGACCGCCACCACCACATGAGATGGCTTGAATACCATCTCTTTCTCATGGCCAGGGGCCTGGGCCGTCTGCCTAGTGGAACACCTGTCCTCCCCTGCAGTCGTAAGCAGAAGGCTACCTGCCACTAGGACTTGAACGGGGGAGGAGAGACCCCCGAGGTCTAAGGTGGGAGGAGGACCGTCAGACAGACTGTGGGCTTGGGGTCAGTCGGCTGGGGAAGGACTGCTAGAAAAACTCAGAAGGCAGAGCTTTTTCCCACTGCTGGCTGTGTCTGCTCTCCTGGAAAAGTCTAGCCAAGTTGAAAGGTTAGACATGGGCACATGCCACCATGGGATGCAGCCACAGATGGCCAGTGCCGGGTACCACAGACAGCCGTAATGAAGCCTGTCATCCTTTATGCGGAAGCCCAGGTCACTTGAGTGTAGGTTCAGAACACATTTGGTCGAGAAATGACGTGACGCTGACAAGCCTGCTGGGCTCCTCTAAGCCTAGTAGACTGTCAGCTTACTAATGGTCCACAAGACTCAGCTAGAAGGAGGCCCGGAGACCACAGGGGGAAAATTTGGAGTCAGATGGGCCTTAGGAAGGAAGAAGGGAAGGATGGTGTCCTGTAGAGAGGAT